GTTATTTTCAACTCTATACATAATTTTAAGAGTCTCGTGCTCTACCGACTGAGCTAGCCGGGCACCCTCTATACATAATTTTAAATTGATGCTTTGTTGAGAATAAAGTAAAGAAATAACAAAACTGTAATAAAAGTTTCACTTGAAAATAACCTAAGAATTTACCACTAATATATTAAGACAGGAGAGAGGGAGTGCCTACACTTAAAGTTGATTTTACAGTTAAAACCAACTTAAAGACAAAAACTGTTAGTAGAAACAAAGAAGGAAATTTATATTAGTAAAAGGGACAATCCATCAAGATAGAACTTAAAACAATTAGAAAAATATATGCACCTAACAACAGAGCCCAAAATGAATGAAGCATAACATGGAAGGAATGGAGAAATAGATAATTAACCAAAGTGAAAGACTTTATATCCTACTTTCAACGAAGGACTGGTAAAAGAGCCACAAGGAAATAAAGGAAATTAGAAATCAATAACAGAATGACACTTGGGAAATTTATCAACAGGTCAAAAAAGAAATCTCAGCAGTCCTTAGAAATTTAGAGCTGTAAATGACCACATTAAAAAAAGAAGCAAGATCAAGAAAATGAGAAGAAACTATGGCCTGGGAGAAAGTATTTACAAAAGATATACCAGATCAAAGGCTGTTATAAAAAACATATAAAGAACACGTAAAACTCAACAAGAGAGTAACCTTTTAAAAATTTCAAAAGATTTGACACCTCATTAAAGAAGATGATTATCACCAAATGTCTAAAATCCAAAACACTGACACCACCAAATGCTGACAAAGATATAAAGCAACAGGAACTCATTGCTGGCAGGAATACAAACTATACAACTGCTACAAACAGCTTATACAACTAAATAAAAGGAAGATGAATAATCCAATTAAAAAATGGGCAATGGACCTAAATAGAACATTTTCAAAAGAAGACAGAAGGAAGGCCAAAAGGCACATGAAAACATGCTCAAAGTCACCAATTGTCCGAGAGATGCAAATCAAAACAACAATGCGGTACCATCTCACACCTGTCAGAATGGCCAACATCAACAAGTCAACAAACGACAAGTGTTGGCGAGGTTGCGGAGAAAAAGCAACCCTCGTGCACTGCTGGTGGGAATGCAGACTGGTGCAACCACTATGGAGAACAGTGTGGAGTTTCCTCAAAAAACTGAAAATGGAACTCCCATTTGACCCAGTAATCCCACTTCTAGGAATATATCCCAAGAAACTAGAAACACCAATCAGAAAGGATATATGCACCCCTATGTTCATAGCAGCACAATCTACAATAGCCAGAATTTGGAAACAGCCTAGGTGCCCGTCAGCAGATGATTGGATCCAAAAACTATGGTACATCTACACAATGGAATACTATGCTGCCATAAAAAAGAAGGAATTCTCATCATTTGCAGCAACCTGGATGGAATTGGAGAACATCATGCTGAGTGAAATAAGCCAATCAATGAAAGAGAAACATCACATGACCTCACTCATTTGTGGATGATAAAGAACATTATAAACTGATGAACCAAAAGATAGATATAGAGACAGTATATCAACAAGTAGACTGTCAAATTACAGCGGGGAGGGGAGGAAGATCTGGGAGATCAACCGAAGGACTTTTATACATGCATATAAGTACAACCAATGGACACAAAACTCTGGGGAGGGAGGGGATGTGTGGGAGGGAAGGAGGGGGGCAAAAAAAAAATCAATAAAATATATTAAAAAAATAAAAAAAATAAAAAATACATATTCTAAATAAAAAAACAAACAAACAAAAAACAAACAAACTATACAACTGCTTTAAAAGACATTTTGGCAGTTTTTTTGTTTTTGTTTTTACAAAACTACACATACTCATACCATATGATCCAGTAATCATGTTCCTTGGGATTTACTTATCTCCACACAAAAGCCTGCACACATGCCCTGGCAGATTTGGCTGTGGGGTTGGAGCATTGGCCTGCAGACCAAAGGGTCTCGGGTTTGATTCCCAGCCCCAGTCAGGGAACATGTGGGGGCAACCAGTTGATGTGTCTCCCTCACCTCTCTCTCTCTCTCTTTCTTCCTTCTTCCCTCTCTCCCTCGACAAATCAGTGGAAAAAAAAATTCTCAGGTGAGGATTAACAACAAAAACACACAAAACCCCGCACACAGATGTTTACTGCAGCTTTTTCATAACTGTCAGTATTTGGTAGCAACCAACTTGTGCTTTAGTAGGAAAAATAAACTGTGGTACATCCAGATAATGGAATATTTTTCAGTGCTACAAAGAAACGAACTAACAAGACATAGAGAAATTTTGAATATTTGTTACTAACCGAAAGAAGCCAATCTGAAAAGGCTATATACTATATGATTCCAACCATATGACATTCTGAAAAAGGCAAAATATATTGAAGACAGTGAAAACACTATGTATTATACTTTAAACATAGATACATGTCATTACATATGTGTCCAAATCCATAGAATGTACAACACCAATAATATAAACAATGGACTTAGGGTAATAATGACCTGTCAATATAGGTTCATCAACTGCAACACATGTATCACTCTGGCGAAAGGGGTTGATAATGGAGGAGGCAGGAAGTATCCTATATAATAAAACCCTAATAAGCAAATTGACTGAATGTGGAATGACCGGTTGCTATGATGCACATTGACCACTAGGGGGAAGATGCTCAAAACAGGAGCTGCCCTCTGGTGGTCAGTGCGCTTCCAAAGGGGGAGCACCGCTTAGCCAGAAGTCAGGCTCATAGTTGGCAGGCAGGTGGTAAGGAGTGAGTGGTCCTGGACTGTGAGAGGGCACAGGCTGGGCTGAGGGGCACCCATGCTCCCACCCAGTGCACAAAATTTCATGCACTGGGCCTCTAGTATAGGATATCTCTGTATCTGCCTCTCAATTTGCTGTGAACCTAAAATTGCTCTAAAAAATAAATTCTATTAAAAACAAAACAAAACCAATAATCTAAACTTCCACCTTTTTTTTTTTTTTAAATATATTTTATTTATTTTTTTACAGAGAGGTAGAGAGAGGGAATAGAGAGAAACATCGATGAGAGAATCATCAATCAGCTGCCTCTTGCACAAGCCCTACTGGGGATGTGCCCGCAACCAAAGTACATGCTCTTGACTGGAATCAAACCTGGGACCCTTCAGTCCGCAGGCCGACGCTCTATCCACTGAGCCAAACCGGTTTCAGCCTAAACTTCCACCTTTAAAAAACAAGGGAAAAAAAAGCAAACTAACCCCAAACCAACCAGGAAAAAGGAAACTATAAAGATTAGAGTGAAAATAAATGAAATAGAAAATAAAAGAGAAAATCAATAAAACCAAAGTTGAGTCTTTGAAAAGATCAATAAAATTGATAAGACTTTAGTTAAGTTGACCAAGAAAAAAAAAGAATATTCAAATTACTAAAACCATGAACTAACCTTACAGTACCAACCTTACAGAAATAAAAAGGATTATAAAGGAATACTATGAACCATTATATTCCAACAAATTAGATAACCTAAATAAAATGGACACAATCCAGAAAGACACAAACTATCAAAACTAACTCAAAACAATATAGAAAATATGAATAGTACTATAAATAAAAAGATTAAACTAGTGATTAAAAAAATTCTCTATAAAAAATGACCAGGACCAAAGAGCTTCACTGTCATCAAACATTTAAAGAATCAACACTAATCCTTCACACATTCTTCACAAAAAATGTGAGATCACTTCCCAACTTGTTTTATGAGGCCAGTATTATTACCCCTATACTAAAACCAGTTAAAGACACCTAATTTAGTAGAAATAAAGAGTAAGAAAAGACAGGTAAATATCAATGAACCAGATATCAATGCAAAGATTGCAGCAGTAATTGTTTCCCCCATATTTAAATTATTTAAAACACTGCTCTGATAATAAAAATTTTTGGATTACTCTTTTGAGTTTACTTTCTCTGAAATCAGTGGTAATGAATCAAGACCCATTTAAATGTTTGAGAAACGCTACCTTCTCTACTATGCTATTTTCCTTTCATAGAAAGCTAGCCTTTCTTCCTATGCATTAGACAACAATGGAAATTTTGTTTGCCCTTATTAAACTTCTCACATTATAAAAGCACTTCATTTATATCGCCTCATTTAAAAAAATGGGTCTGATTTCAATATGTATAGCATTTAGAAAAAGCAACATATCTAATAATTATTTCCAATTTCTCCTTGAACTTACTCCCCCAAAAGTCATTATTTTCTTCTAACCTTCTCAAAACCAAATTGTCTTCATATACCTCTTAATTATAGCCAAGGATATTAAAAATGTTTATAATTGGCATGAGGAAAAAGATACCAGTTTATAAACACTTAGTTGGATGGAACATGCTAACTAAATATCAGTGTTAGTTACTGCTTTCAATAGTCTGCTATACTTTTTTTCAATGCTAGAATGACTTTTGGTAGTTCCTTGCTCACCAATTTGCAGAAAAAGGAAAGCAGTTTTCATCCAAGATAACCACATAAATAGATTCCAAAGATTAGTTTAACATTGTCCTTTCTTAAAATTTTAATTTCTCTACTTTTATTCCTTAATACTGAAGTAAGAATAAGTATTAGGAAGAAAACACTATTGTTTTTTGTTTTTTTCTATACCAATAGTCTCCAGAGAATGAAGTTCTTTAGTCAGCTTTTTATTATAGCTTTATTATTTGATTTTATCCACAAAGTTAAGGTCCAAGTTCTTTATCCACTCAACCAAATGAAAACATTTAATGCACAGACTAATGAATGGATCTGGGGATATATTAAGGATAATGTAAACGGTTAACAAAACAAATAAATGCCTGACATTTAGAGGAAGCAATAGAAAAAGAATAAGAAATTCACAAAAAAGCAGAGATGGCTCACTTTAAAATTAACCCAAGATCACAGAATTATGTGTAATAACATCATTTATGTCTGCATTGCTTTTAAGGATCTTCTTACCCAACTTTGGAAAAACTATTAAGTATTCAGCATTGCACTGAGGACATGCCACTCTGGCGGTACTGTTTCCTCTTTGTTTTTCATCCACCCAGCGCTGTAGACAAGCCTGGTGCACCCATTTTGTAGATCCTCTGCACCTGCATGGTCTCACCCATTCAGCAGTTCTATCATCTTCATCGGTGGCAAAACACACCCAGCAACTTCTGTAAATTAAAAGAGAAAATGACATCATCTTTAAGACCTCAACTTTCTCTCCACTGCAGCTCTCACTTAATGAGATGACCCTACTATGGTTTTATAGAACCTCTATTCTACATTAAAAGACTGAGGAGACAAAACCATCAGTACATTTCCAGTAAGAATAACTTCTTTTTCTGGTTATCCTTTTATTCATCTGCAGAACTGTTCGTTTTTATGTAATTCCCTCCATCTTTCTAGTAATTTATCTTCTGTAATGAACCAGTGAAAGCAAAGCCACAGGCTGCTTTTGTGTTATAAGACTTAATAATTCTTTGATGAGTGGTAAGCACAGAAGTATGTGAAATTCAGTGTTCCCCCCATTTCAACACTAACCTTTTAACCTCTTGAACTTGGAAAACTAAAGTATTGTACAAGTGATTTCACACATGGTCTCATTCAATTTTCAACTGAGGGAAAACCCCCGCCCATTTCTTTCTGGTAAAGCATAACTATAAGAAAAGAGAAAGATGGTTAAATTAAAAAACAAACAAACAAAAACCACACACACTTACACGCACACACACGCACAGCAAAAGGGAAGAAGAAATGAAGACATCAGGATAAACTGTTTTAGAATAATGACATGATAAATTTGGGTCTACATGATTTCATTATAGGTATGATTGGTTTTCCTTTTGAATTATACTTATTACACTTGAAGTTTAGAAGTCTCAAGTATGTTTTCTTTTTAAAGGTTCAAACACATATGCTAATCAGAGAAGTCCATTTTTTAATCCTCACCTGAGAATATGTTTATTGATTTAGAGAGATAGGGAGGGAGGGAAGAGAGGGTGAGAGAGAGAAGAAACATCACTTGCTTGCCTCCCGAATGAACCCCAAAACCTAGGTATTATATATACTTGAATAGAACCTGTAACCTTTTAGTGTATGGGACGATGCTCCAACCAACTGAGCCAGGGCTGAGATGCTTCTTATATTAAGAAAAAATTCTATTGAGATGGTTAAATTTATAACATTTTTCCACTTTGCTTTTATAGGTACTTCAGGAGGTCTAATTTGTTCTTGTGGAACTAGGTTGCAATTCCTTATTTTTCTCCCAATTAACACAAGTTTCAACACCAAGTTCTATTAGGGCAAATATAATTTAACTCAGTGAGACCATTCACCCTGTGCCCTATTAAAGTATGAATGTACAATTGGAACAACGGCTAATTAATGCTTCTTACCTACTGTGCATTTTTCACTTAATTAGGTAAGTGACTTCCGTCAGAATAACTAGCCTAACTATGCTCAGTGGGAAAGATTATATAGTCAGGTACTATAGATGGATGAGATCTTCAGTTACAGTAGAACATGAATTTTATGTGCTCCAATTAAAACTTCTCAATTAGAATAGAGAGAAAAATGGGACTGTATTCATGGCAACAATATCCAAAATTATAATTTTACTAAGCTTTCAAATTCAGTCCGGTTTCATACGACCAAGGTAAGAATGGGAGGTAGGCAGCCTTTGTTCAGCATGCTGACACTCTGGGACCCACCCCAGCCACACTGTCTGGACCTTTCACACTATCTTATTATTGTTATCCAAAAATGCCTCCTTTTCCTTTATCTTTTTAAAAAATTGTACTATGGTAAAATATATATAACAAAATTTTAACTAAATTTATTAACCATTTTTAAGAATATAATTAAATATAATTAAGTATACTGATATTGTGCAACTATCACTACTACTCATAGTTTGAGTTTTTACCTTCAATTTTTGAATAAAGTTTTGTTATAGAGCAAACAGACCAGTTAATTAAAGTGTTATATATTTTCCTCACAACTGAGGTGATTTTGTAATTATATTTGTGTACTTCTGGGAAATGAGATATATCATTTTGGTAATAAAACATAGGAAGATTATGTAGAAACTCTAGGTTAGTATAAATTTTTCATTTCAACTATGGAATATATATGTAGCTAAGTACAGTTGGACTAGCATAATTAATCAGCATTAAGATTAATCAAATTTTAAATTAAGCAAATTTTAGTCATCAGGAAAAAAATGTAAAAACATATCTATTAAAACTATCCTATTTATGTAGCATTTTAGGTAGATTTGGAACACACACACACACACACACACACACACACACACGTCTACTCAGGACCATCTTAATAGGCTGTACCAAATGAAACTGCCTCTATTTATGTTTTTTACTCACATCAATGGCCATCTCATATTTTAGTCTAACAGGAATACTTGTATATTCCCTATAAATTCTGGATAAGTGTAAGTTATTTTCCCCCAACGTTTTATTACGAAAAATGTCAAAGTGTCAAAAAAAGGTTGAAAATCTCTCAGTGAATACCCATATTCCCAAAATCTACATTCTATAATTCTTATCACTTAAAAAATATATATAGATGTTTCTACTGATTTCAGAGAGAGGAAGGGGAAGAATCAATGCTCTGATGCCTCTTGAATGTCCTCTACAGGGGATGGAGCCATAATCTCCTGGTTTATGGGTTATTACTTAACCACTGAGTCACATCAGCCAGACTGTCCAATTTCTTTTTGTAATTCTTATCATATTGAGATATATGTGCTTTATCACATATTAATTCATCCATTTTATTTTTTGATGCATTTCAAAGTTGTAGGAATAAGTATAATTCACCCCTAAATATTTTCACAGTTTACTTTTTAGAAGGTATTCAACTGATATGTAAGGCAGGCACTTTCAGATATTTTATAATTTTACAACTATAGTAGGTTAGATGAACTATAATTTATAGTGGAAATTTATTAGGAGTTAAGCCTGATGTACAATTCAATTTGAGAACTGCTGGTGTGGAGTAATGGCAGGTAAAAACAAAACAAAACAAAACAAAACAAAACAAAACAAAACAAACCACAAGAGTTTGGAGAAAGTCATCTATATGAAAGAGGCAATTATTTTATTTGCTTACATTATAAGTAATTACTTCTGGTGACTAAATTTTTTGAGGAGGAAAGGGGGAAAGGAAGGAGGAAGAAGGGGGAAGGGAAAGAAGGGGAGTAGGAAAGGGGCAGAGGGATGGAAGCATTGATTGGTTGCCTCCCACAGGCACCCCAATCAGGGATAGAACCTGAAACCTAGGAATTGAACCCACCACACCTTTCTGTGTATATGACCGACCATGCTCCAACCAACTGACAATACTGGCCAGGGCTAAATATTTTTTAACATAAATAACAGTTCAAAAAATGTTAAGTTCTAAAGAAATTATAAACTTATTTACTACCATACTAGGTATGAGTTTAATCTACCTAATATGGAAAGAACATTAATCTGTGAAATAGGGCCAAGGAAAATTAACTTGAAGCATATAAAAATGGTCACATGTTTTAGGCTAATAGCCTATAAGACAAAATTATTAGTCTTCAGGGCTGCAGAACAGGAAGGAAAGGAACAAATAATGTGTACGAACCCTTTCTTTCCTCATTAAAAAAACAAACAAACACAAACTTCTGACCAGGAACATCACCTGAGAAGTCTGATTTAATTATGCTTCCCTTCTTTGTTTCCCCATACTCTTCTCCCTCCTTTGAAGTAGAAAATAAGTGTTTGAAAATAATGGGTTTACAGTTTCTCCAAACTTAGAATTGAGGAGAGAATAGAAACTTGTGTTTAATGCATCAAAATCTGAGGTTCCCAGCAAAAAATCTGAGGTTCATTTTTGCAAAACCAGCTTTCTGTGCCCAGCCTCCCTCCCAAACACTGTAACCTGGGGGATAGGATATTCCTTAAACCACTCTAAGGATTACCCTTCCTAAAGCTGGGAATGGGGAAGGACTAACTGCCTAAATTACACATATGGATGATGTCGCAGAGAAGAGTAGTTTTCCATAAAAAGCATGGGATACTATTTATTCCTTAAAAAGAGGAGAAATTGGCATGTGCCCTGACAGGGAATAAAACTGTGACCTCCTGGTTCATAGGTTAACACTCAACCACTGAGCCACCCTGGCTGAAATAGTTTTTTTTTCCTTAGATTAACCAGTTTGGGGTAGATTTCCCACCATATATAATCTAAACCAGTGGTTGGCAAACTGCCGCTTGAGAGCCACATCTGGCTCTTTAGCCCCATGAGTGTGGCTCTTCCACAAAACACTGTGGGCACGCACCTACAGTGCGATTGAAACTTCGTGGCCCATGCGCAGAAGTCGGTTTTCGGCTCTCAAAAGAAATTTCAGTCGTTGTACTGTTGATTTTTGCTCTGTTGACTAATGAGTTTGCCGACCACTGACCTAAACAATTTTGTTACACACGGTGAGAAACTGAATATAAGAGGTAGCCCCTTTACTAGCTGGTTTGGCTCAGTTGGTCTGCGGACTGAAGGGTCCTAGGTTCAATTCTGGTGAAAAGCACATGGCTAGGTTGCAGATATAATCCCCAGTGGGGGGCATGCAGATGATCAATGATCCTCTTTCATCAGTGATGTTTCTATCTTTTCTCCCTCTTCCTTCCTCTCAGAAATTAAAAAATGTGTTTTTTAAAAAGGAGATGGCCCTAAGACAACTATATAAAACAACAGACCTTGTATTTCAATGTGTTATATTACTGTCAGATTTTTAATATTTTAATAGCTGCATTTCAATATACTGTTTCATTTCTGATCCTACATATTTTGTTTTATTCTTTCAAAACATTCTGAGAAAGATCTCATAGATTTAACTAGGCTGCCAAAGTTGTTTACAGCATAACAAAACATTCTGTTAAGATCCCCTATTATAAAGAATTATATAAGTGATAATGAAAGTGGTCAAGAATTGCCTGGCACATATACAACTACCAAACTAACACTAGCAAGAATGGCATTGATAAAGATAAAAAGATGGTCTCAACTTTACATTTATGCTTAAATTTTATGGATGCATTTCCTTATCTAAATTAACACACATAAAGCAATTCTGCTCAGCACCTGGTATTTAGTGGGAAAAGTCCTGTCTCCTACCCTACTCCCACTC